CCCCAAAACCCCAAAACCCCAAAACCCCAAAACCCCATAATTATGATTATTGATTGAAATTTATAAATCTGTCTAGTTGATACCTGGGCGGAAATTAATAGAAGATCTTCTGTTCTCATCTCTAAGTAGGGAGGACTCCTCTTCCTCGTCATTCTGGGGCTGCTCTTGGTTAATATAAGGATGATGAGACATTCTTCCAGGTAATTGACTCTCAACTGGCTGGACGACAGCATTGGGCATCTGAGAAGGGGCTACATTCTCTACCGAACTAGCCTCTATATTTGGAATACGGACCTGGTGAGCATCATGAAGCGGAGCCTGAGGAACATGTGGATGGTGATAATTTATCGCCTGGACTCTCCCTGCATTCAGCTGGTAATTTGGAGGTTGATAATTGTTACCCAAATTTACTTGCTGATTAGGTCCGAATCGTGCGTCATTTAACGAAGGTTGGAGATTAGCTGAGCCATTATTCATTTGTCTTGCAATCTTCTTTCTTGTTCCAAGGATAAACAAGAAAATTATGAAATGAACAAAAGGACTAATCATCAGAATGGATAAGATTATTATGATGTGGGTGTAATATTGATCATAGTCGTCATCCCAATTGACATCTTTTCTAAAGTCGTGATTTGTGAAGCTAATTATAGCTCCAACTCCAAATACAAAGGAGATAGCACCCTTAATAAAGACAAAAGGCTTTGCCCAAGGAGCTCTTGCTAGTTTTGATCTTGGGAAATAAGTATATGAAATGATGAATGTAATTCCAAATATCAAAGATATAGCATAAATAAGGCTGAAAAGTTCAAAATAGTTCAATAAAGACAATGTCACAAGTCCTAGAACAAGCAAAGAGGGCACTCAGAAAATAATCTGAAAAACCTTGAGTCATGATATCTTTGATCTGTACTGAGCTGGGATCCCATAATCATAAATCGTCAAGTCATTCAGCAATGGAGGATTATTCATTTTATATAATTCAATTACTAATAGATTAGAAGGGGTTTTGGGGTTTTGGGGTTTTGGGGTTTTGGGGTTTTGGGGTTTTGGGG